CTTGACCTCCCAAAGTTCTAGGATTACAGGCCTGAGCCACTGTGCCTGGTCCCATCGTGAGATTTGACCAAGACTTACAGTTGTGTGACCCCATCACCGTCAGGATGGAGAACAGCCCCGCCATAGCAGGAGTTTCCCACGGCCGCTTGTAGGCGGCCCCTCCCCAGCCCTGGCCCCTCAGTCTCTCGTGCGCCCCTGTCCCTGAGGCCTTCGAGCCTGGCCGCTGTCACCCTGAGCCACTGAGGCCGTCTGACTGGTCACGTGCACCAGTCGTTCATGGCTTCTGATCGTGGACAGTACGGTCTGTGAAGAGAGCCACTGAACGTGTTTATGAAGTTGTTTCTGTTTCACTTGGGTAAATACCCAGGCGTGGAGTTGCTGGGTCATATGATAAGTGGATGATCAACCTTATAGGAAAGTGCCAGCCGTTTCCACGTGGACCACAGCGTTTGCATCCCTGTCAGCCGTGTGTGTGCTTCCACCGTCAATATTCTGTGGTTTTGCTTTTTTTCCATGTTTGTCACTCATGGGTGTGCAGTGGTGTCTCGTTGTAATTTTAATCTGCATTTCCTGTGCTCATTACCATCCTCGTGTTCTCCTTGGTGAAGTGTCTTTTCAGATCTTTTATACAGTTTTTCTTTTTTTTTTTAAACAGCAACAAAAAAACAGGGTCATACTGTGTTGCCCAGGCTGGAGTGCAGTGGTGCAATCATAGCTCCCTGCAGCCTCCGCCTCCTGGGCTTAAGTGATCCTCCCACCTCTGTTTTCCAGGTAGCTGGACTCCAAGTGCACACCCTCAGGCCTGGCTAATTTTAAAAAGTGGCTTTCTTGTAGAGATGAGGGTTTCACTGTATTGTCCAGACTGGTCTTGAACTCCTGGGATCAAGAGAACCTCCCACCTCGGCCTCCCAAAGTGGTGGGTTACAGCTGTAAGCCACCGTGTCTGGCCTCTTTTGCTTATTTTGAAAAACCTGAATTGTTTATTTTCTTTTTATTGAATTTTGAGAATGTTTCAATATGTTCTGGATACAAGTCCTTTATCAGCAATGTGTCTTTCAAATATTTTCGCCCAGTCTGTGCCTTTTCCCATTTCATTCAGTTACCTTTCAAAGAGTAAGCGTTTTTGCTTTTGAAGAAGCCCGGTTGACCCATTTTTTTCTTTTGTGGGCCATCCTTTTGATATTATAGCTAAGAAAACGTTGACCCAAATTCACAAAGATTTTCTTCTAGAAATTTTATACTTTTAGATTTTACATTTAGGACTACGGTCCATTTTGGGTTCTTTTTTTATACAGTGTGAGGTGTGGGTTGAGCTTCGTTACTTTTGCACGGGGATGTCCAGTTGTTCCAGCAGCATTTGTTGAAAGACCGTTCTTTACTGTGCGACCTTTGCACTTTGGTCAAACATCAACTGGCCATTTTTGTGTGGGCCTATATCTACGCTCTCAATTCTGTTCCATTTTTCTGTTCATGTTTTTTTTATGTCTGGACCATACTGTGTTGATTAGTTACATAGTAAGTCTTCAGATTGAGGAGTCTGAGTCTTCCCACTTTGTTCTTTTGTTCAAAATTACAGTTCTGATTTCTTTGACTTTTCCTTTTAAATGTTGGCTTTGTTGATTTCTACCCAAAAAGTCCTGCTAGGGGCCGGGCGCGGTGGCTCACACCTGTAATCCCAGCACTTTGGGAGGCCGAGGCGGGCGGATCACGAGGTCAAGAGATCGAGACCATCCTGGCCAACATGGTGAAAACCCGTCTCTACTAAAAAATACAAAAAGTAACTGGGCGTGGTGGCGCACGCCTGTAGACCCAGCTACTCCGGAGACTGAGGCAGGAGCATTGCTTGAACCCGGGAGGCGGAGGTTGCAGCGAGTCGGGCTGGTGCCACTGCACTCCAGCCTGGTGCCTGGCGACAAAGCAAGACCCTGTCTCAAAAGGAAAAAAAAAAGTCCTGCTAAGATTTTTGATTGGGACTAAATCTATACATAATCTGGGGAGACTTGTCATCTTAACATACCGAGTCTGTCAATCGTGAACATGGTGTGTCTCTCCATTTATTTAGGTCTTCTTTGATTCTTTTCATTAGTGGTTTGTAGCTTTTACTACACAGATCTTGTACTTTTTCTTTTTTAGGTTTATACTCAAGTGTTTCATGGTTTGAGGGCTGTTATACCTAGTGCTGCTTAATTTCAATTTCTGATTGTTTACAGCTAGTACATAAAAATACAACTGCTTTTTCCATGTCGGCCTGGTGTATTGTGATCTTACCAAATTCACTTACTAGTTCTAAGAGCTTTCTTACTGATTTTTGGAGAGGTGTATGTGGACGCATGTGTGTCTATGCAGTCATGTCACCTGGTAACCGAGATGGTTTTAATCTACATACCTTTTCTTTCTTTTTGTTGCCTTATTGCACTGGTTAGAACTTCCAAAATGTTTGAATAGGTGTGGTAAGAGTGGATATTTTCATGGAGAAAATATTTTTTCATTTTCCTGGGGGAAGGATTCTGGGTTTACCATTAAGTAAAATGTTAGCTTTGGAGTTGTTTTTAGGATGTACTTTATCAGGTTAAGGAAGGTCCTTTCTATTCCTAGTTTGCTGAGAGCTTCTTTCATGAACAGGCACTGGATTTTGTCAAATGCTGCCTCACTGAGATCATATGGGTTTTTCTTTTTTGGTTTATTGACATGATAAATTGCACTGATAGATTTTCAAATGTTGAACCAACCTTGCATTCCTGGGATAATAGATTGCTGACTTTGGTATATTTTTTTACTGATGGATTCTTCTCTTTTACTTTACATTTTTACTTTTAATTTATTGTGTAGTAAGTTCTTTTAATGATTGGAATCACAATACTAGAGAAATCCCTCATCTTACCCGAGTTCTGGTGGCTCCAAAGCCTCCACACAGAACCTTGAGTTGCTTGTGACCCTTGAGGGCCTGGGTCACTGGGTGAGGCTCTGCTCATCCAAGCAGAGGGGCTTTTTTCTCTGCACAGCGTCCAGCTGCATTGGTGGTTAACTGCTGCTTCCTGTGTTAGGAGACTTCTCGCACGTGACTGCTTCTAACTGTTCAGAGGTATTACTTTTGCCTTTTTGTCTGGAAATGTAATATTTCCTACCTTAGGTAAGTCATGTTCCCTAGGAGAGCTAGCAGTCATGGAGTTACATAACTTGATTTTTAGCCAAATCTTCACTAAGGAGTTGGGGGTTGGAGAGCTCATTTATTGCTTACCTACCAAAGACTCATGTTTTTTGAGTTAATGTATTACCACCTGAAGTGTTTTGGCAACTGTGTTCAATGTATGTGAAGCAGATATATTTGTCTTCATTTTTAGCTAATTTTTTCTTAAACATCGTTTGCGAAATTTTAGAGAAGAAAATAAGAAAGTTTTTATCTACTATTTTTAATTTTTTTACTTCTAACAATTAACATTATTACTTATTCAATGTCTTTTATTGGTTTATAGAAAATCCAAATTATATATAAAGACATACAATCACACACATATGCATATGTACACATAGTACTTGTTTATTACAATTTTATCTTTTTTGTTTCCCTGAAAAATTGATGAACGTTACCAAAAATTGAAAGAAATCTTATGTGTATATAGAGAGAAAGACACACACACACACACTCACACACTCTCTCACACACACACACACACATACACACACACACACACACACACACACAATCTTCCTCTGGTGCCCAGGCTGGAGAGCAATGCCACAATCTCCGCTCACCGCAAACTTCGCCTCCTGGGTTCAAGCAATTCTCCTGCCTCAGCCTCCCGAGTAGCTGGGACTACAGGTGCCTGCCACCACATGGGCCTTGCTAATGTTTTTGTATTTTTAGTAGAGATGGTGGTTCACCATGTTGGCCAGGCTGGTTTTGAAATCCTGACCTCATGATCTGCCCGAAGTGTTGGGATCACAGGCAGGAGCCACGGTGCCCAGCCCAGAAATTATATTTTAGAATTAAAATTTTGTATCAATATTTCATATGATAAATGTTAAAATTACATACATCATAATATTTCTACTATGTAGAAAGAAAACCGTATATACATAAACAGTGAACTGAATTACACGGAAATATTAACTAACTGAAATGCTGCTGGTTGTCTGTGGGTGGTGAGATTGTGGTGGTAAACGTTTAGTGCCGACCATGAATGACTTGATTTTAAATAAACTTTTTCATATGCAATATGTTTCAACTTCAGACGCAAAGAGTGTCAGGCAGCCTTGGGTGGGTAGCCTCCTGGAAACCTCCCTCCCCAGCCTCCAGCCAGGCCTTTGAGCTGAGAAGCTTGCACATGGTGGGACCTGCCGTGCTGTCCCCTGAGCAGCCCCGCCCAGAGCCCCCACCCTCGTGGGCAGGCGCTGGCCATGGAGGGTGGGGCTTCTGCATGGGACCCGTGGCCGGGACAGGACTGGATTCCATGGCCGCTCCCGTAGGTGTGTGGGAACCTGGGAGAGACCCAGGCCCTAGTATGGGGTGTGGGGCCGTATGAGACCTCTGTGAAAGAGGGCACCCCACCCTGAGAGCCTGGCCCTCCTGAGCTGAGCCCCCGAGTCCCGCCAGGCCTCCTGCCTGAGCAGGATGGGCCACCTGAGGACAGCTGCCCCCTTCTCTCAGGCTCCGGGGGTTGTGGTCACAAGATGTCCAGCCCCGCAACCAGCCTCAGGGAATCCCCCACTCCGAGGGGTGGTGAGGGGCAGGCTGAGCGCAGCGGGGAGCTCTGGGCTCTGGCCCGTGTGTCCCTCCTGGAGCCGCCGTGGCTGCCTCGATCCCTCTTCCCCAAGACAACGTCCCTTCATGGGCCTCCCACGGCTGTGTTCACCCCCAGCCTGCTGGGGCAGCAGCTGCCACACTCCAGAACGTCGCTTCTGGGCCCTGTTCCTTCGTGTTTGCAGGTGCCCTGTGGTGGTGACAGCTCTGTGGAGGCCGCCCCTGCCCTGTGCTCGGTGACCTGCAGGTGCAGCAGGTGGCGGGCAGGGTTGGCGTGGCCTCTACAGCACTTGTCCAGCCAGATGCTGGTCCCAGGCTTCCCCCTTTAGGAGTCTGGTGTCCTGAGACAAAGGGAATTTAACATAAAGTAGGGCTGTGGAGCCCTTCAGGCCACTGGAGAAGGTGGTCACTGGTGGGCTCTGGGAAGGGAGTCCCCTCGGGCCTCTGTGCTACGGCCACAGGTGTCCGTATGTTTGGTTCCAGGGAGGGCCTTTCCTTCCTCCCCAGACGCAGCTTCTGCTGTTCCAGAAAAGATAAAAATAAAGCTTGGTCTCAGCAAGGGCTCAGGGGTTCCTTCTGAGACCCATGAGCCTCGGGGTGCTGTTGAGAGCAGGATTTCTGCCAAAAATAAAACACGGCTTCCTGGCCGCTGGCCTGGGAGAGCCAAGAAAGTGAGTGGCATGTCCGGGACCGAGGGTGGCGGAGAGCTGAGCACAGGCCCCGAGACGGGCCGTCCGGCTGCAGGGGCTTTGAAAACTGACCCGGGCCCGTGGGAGCCAGTGAGCAGGAGCCGCTCCCGACTGTGCAGAGAGGCGCTGCGTTCACGGAAACCACACGCTTAAAGTCAGACGTGAGCATTTACAGCACAGGCGTGAAAGTGGCATTTAATCACATGCCAACTGTGCGGTGTCACCACTGGCCACTCCAGGAGCCCCGTGCCATCCAGCGGGCGCTTGCACACCCCTCCCCTCCCCACCCTTCTGCCCCGGTGACCACCAGTCTGCTTTCTGGTATTTTAGCTCAATGCAAGAAGGATTTCTCAAAAGCTGGGCTCAGAGATGAGTGTGTCTGTAAATCGTATTGACTCGATATTTGCGCCGTCAAGCGATCCTCTCCTGGGAAGGCAGTTACGTCACTCACTGAAATAGAAGTAAGCAGGTGGTAAATGACTTAAAACAGATGCCGAAAACATCTACTCGTTGTGCAGCTGCAGTGCAGAGAATGGTGTGACGTTCGACTCCCCCTTTCTGCTGTGTTTTTAGAAAGGTTAAAATTACCTCCTTTTGTGCCTGTGTTGTGACTCACTCAGTGAACTCCTCATGGACTTTGTTCTAGAAGCTCTGTGTTTCTTTATCATATTCTGATGGACAGAGGACGTGGTAAGTGAATCAGCTAAGTGCAGTGAGCTCGAATTGTATTATCGTCACGCTGACACGACTGATGTCAAAAACGTGAGCTTCTCGTGGACCCGAATGTAACACAGAGAAGGAGGTAACGTAAAACCCCACGGAGAGTGAAGTCACGTGGCTCAGTCCGTGGGTCTTCTCACAAGTGGAGTTTGAACGTAGCCAGGAAGGGTGTGGGTGGAGGATTTCTCTCGGCAGATGTGCCTGCGTTAGAGGATTTGTCTTCGGATCAGCATTGATTTTAGAGAAAAAATAAAGACTTGCTATGAGATTGGCCGTTGCTCGCTGGGCCGGCGTCCAGGTGTTCTGGGCAGGTTGGAGAAGGGGCCCCGGGCCAGCTGCGGAGGTGGGGCGGACACAGCTCCACGCCCTCGCAGAGTGTGCTCATGAGGGGTCGGAGGGCCCAAGCCAGGGGTGCCAGTGGACTTCAGGTGTCTTGAGCAGAGGCTGCAGGAACTCCCTTGGGCCAGGCCGCCTGTCCCTGGAAATCCCAGATGTTTGGGTGTTGGCCCTGGAGACGGTGTTGGGTGAGGCATGGAAGGTGGACACGAGAAGGCAGGGTTCCCACTGGGAGAGGTGAGTCCACAGGGACAGAGAAGCAGCGTTAGGGCCGATGGGAGCCACACGCAGCGCGTCTGGGCCTCGGACCTGTGGCAAGGCGGGTGCATCAGGGTTGGGCCAGAGTGGGCTGAGCTGCCGCTGCAGGACGGGGGGCACCAGGCGCCTCCTGGAAGCAGCCGGCTTGAATGCTTACGGGGACGGGAGGCACCATCCACTGGCTTTTGCTTTTTCTGTGGGGAATCTCATTGTAATTAGCTTTTATGATGGGCTGAGAACCTGGGACTTGGAAATTCAGCTTTTAGTTCAGGTATTAATTCAGAGATAGCTCAACATTAATTGTTTAAATTAGTAGGCTACCAGCCAGGTGCAGTGACTCACGCTTGTGATCCCAGCGTTTTGGGAGGTTGAGGTGAGTGGATCACGAGGTCAAGAGATCGAGACCATCCTGGCCAACATTGTGAAACCCCGTGTCTACTGAAAATACAAAACTTAGCCAGGCGTGGTGGCATGTGCCCATAATCCCAGCTACTCAGGAGGCTGAGGCACGAGAACTGCCTGAACCTGGGAGGTGGAGGTTGCGGTGAGCCAAGATCGCACCATTACACTCCAGTCTGGTGACAGAGCGAGACTCCATCCCAAAAAAAAAAAAAAGAAAGAAAGAAACCTCCAGTGCTCCCTCACCTATCCAGCTATGGGAGGGCATGGGGAGAAGTGTCTCCATGACCCAGGACGTGGCCCTCATCAGACACCTACTCTGCCCGGACCCCAACTAGAACTTCCAGCCCCCAGAACTGTGCTAAGTTTCTGTTGTTTAGGGGCTGCCCAGCTTGTGCTGTTTTGTTTCTTTCGCTTGCTTTCTTTTTTTTCGTCCTCCCCTCTCCTCTGTCCCTCCCTCTCTCTCTCTCTCTCTTTTTCCCTCAGGTGATTCACCTGCCTCGGCCTCCCAAAGTGCTGGGATTACAGGCCCGAGCCACCTCGCCCAGCCAGTTTGTGGGGTTTTATTATGGCTAAGACACGACCCTACCTGCCCCGCCCCCTGTTGTGAATTCTGGGGTAAAGGGAGCGCCATATCCCTTCGGGAGAACGGCCGGCGCGCTGCTCTGCAGGAAGCCAGCACGTGGTGGAGACCGCGTCAGACAGGCGCTGTCACTGCCCTTCCCAAGCTTTCAAAGGTCATTTCCCAGGCAGGCTGGGGTGTGGGGTGTGCACCAGGGCTGCTGTGATGGGAACTGCCAGCTGAAGAAGTCGCTGAGTTCAGTTTTGGTCATGATGGTGAATAATGAAATCATTATCATTGAGTTAGATTTTAAGTTCTTCTGTACTGTTCGTTCCGGGATGTGAAGGTCATTGGACTTCGCTTTGGGAAGATGTGAAAATGCATCCTGTGTGGCTTTTCCCAGTTTGGGGGGGTCAGATGTCTCTCTCTGTCTCTCCAGTTATTGTGCTTTGTGGGTTTTCTATCAGACATTTTGGTGCGAACAGAAAAATGAACTCAAAATAGCTTAAGCAAAGGAGAATGTATTGCTGACAGCTGGCAGGTGGAGGGGTGGGTGTGGCTTCAGGCATGGCTGGATCCTGGGGCCCGCACGACGCCGTCGGGGTTCTTTCTCCCTGCACACACCCTGGCCCTGCTTTCTTCTGTGATAGGTTAACTCTCAGGTCTGTTCTTTCTGCCTGGTGAGGAAGCTGGCCAGCAGCAACTCCAAACTATACAAACATTGCAGGTTATGATGCTGAAGTGGCAGGTGACACTCTCCCCATTCAGTCCGTCCTTGCCCAAGTGTTTTTAGGTTGTTGCTTTTTCTTTTCTTTTCTTTTTTCTTTTTGCGACAAAGTTTCACTCTCTTTTGCCCAGGCTGGAGTATAATGGCAGGATCTCGGCTCACTGCAACCTTTGCCTCCGAGTCCAAGCGACTCTCCCGCCTTAGCCTCCGAAGTAGCTGCGACTACAGGTGTGTGCCACCTCGCCTGGCCTGACAAATATGTAGATAGATAGATGATAGATAGAAAGATGGTTAGATATATGTGTATACACACACACACACACACACACACATATATATATATATACATATTTTTTTTGAGATGGATTCTTGCTCTGTCACCCAGGCTGGAGTACAATGGTGTGACCTCAGCTCACTGCAACCTCCGCCTCCCGTATTCAAGTGATTCTCCTGCCTCAGCCTTCCGAGTAGCTGGGATTATAGGTGCCTGCCATCATGCCCGGCTGATTTTTGTATTTTTAGTAGAGACGGGGTTTCACCCTGTCGGTCAGGCCGGTCTCGAACTCCAGACCTCAGGTGATTGCCCGCCTCGGCCTCCCACAGTGCTGGGATCACAGGTGTGAGCCCCGCAGCCGGCCAGGCTGTTGCTTTTTCTGGTTTCTTCAGTATTGACAGTTGTTATCTACAGGACTCCACAGCCATGACTTGAAACAGAACCTCACAATCACAAAATAAGAAAGATCTTGGACATTGAAAACGATAATTTCAAAGAAGGGATAAAAAAAATTGAGAGGGCTTCCCAGGATGCTGAGAAAAGCAGAGAAAGAGAGAGGTAAAAATTTGACAGGAAAGGCTGGAAGCATTCTCAGGAGACCCAACATCTGATTCATCGTGTCCCAGAAGGAGAGAACAAATTATCCAAGAAAGCCCCCAAAATTGAGATTTGTGTCTCATATTGAAAGGCCCATGGAATGGTCAGCCTGGCCACGAAGAGACCCCACGGCAAGGTCCGCGAAGTGTATGGCTTCAGAGAAGCCCGTCCACGCCCACCGAGAGGGAACACCAGACCGCGTTCAGAGGGTCCAGCGTGAGTGTGGCGGCCGACTCACAGGGAGCTCTGGAATGACGGGGTCGTTTTTAAGGGAAGACATCTTCTCCCTTAGTTGCATCCCTGTCCAAACAGTGCAGAGTGAGGGAGCCTGAAGACATTTTCAGACGTGTGAAGTCTCAAAAACTACCTCCTCCCGTGTCCCTTTCTCAGGAGTTGCAAAGAGAGGGAAAGATGGAGTCCAGTGCTAAGGGATGGCCCAGGCGCCCGTCCTCCGAGGCCAGGTGGGAGCAGGACACAAGCCCTGGAAATGTGCCCCGGGAAAGAGAAACTCCAGAATGTTGGAGAGAACTCAGAGTGGATCTAAATTGTAGTGATGTATTAGATCAATGCAGAGAAGACTCAGCAAATAAACACGAGGCAATTTTTTTTTTTTTAAGACAGAGTTTCACTCTATCGCCCAGGCTGGAGTGCAGTGGCACGATCTCAGCTCACTGCAACCTCCACCTCCTGGGTTCAAGCAATTCTCCTGCCTCAGCCTCCCGAGTAGCTGGGATTACAGGTGCCCACCCCCACATCCAGCTAATTTTTGTATTTTTAGTAGAGACGGGGTTTCACCATGTTGGCCAGGCCGGTCTTGAACTCCTGACCTCAGGTGATCCACCCACCTCGGCCTCCCAGAGTGCTGGGATGACAGGCATAAGCCACGGTGCCCAGCAAGATGAGGCAGTTTTTCACTTCATGAAAACAAAAATTTGTACGTGAGGGAAAAATAAACATTGTACACCATATGGTGGTTCAGCCATGGATGGTGTCTACCTGGTGTCTTCGTTCATTTTTTTTGCTGTAATAGAATACCACAAACTGGGTAATTTATAAAGTATTACATTTCTTACGGCCCCAGAGGCTGGGAAGTCCAAGGTTGAGCAGCTGCATCTGGTGAGGGCCTCCTGCTGCGTCATAACCTGGCAGAGGACGTCGTGCCAGCCCAGGCGTCTCTTCCTCTCCTTATAATGCCACCAGTCCCGTTATCAGGGCCCCGCCCTGAAGAGCCTGCCTCATCCTAATTACTTCCCGAAGGCCCAGCCTTCACTCAACATGTCAACTGGGAGTTTATGTTTCGAACACGTGAGATTTAGGGGACACATTCAAACCGTAGCACCTGGTGATGATGATGGAGGACTGAATATTGATCTAGCTCCAAAGGCAACAAAGCTGTGCAGGGAGTGTGCGTGCACTGACCGGGGCGGGCGCGTGAATGGCAGAGCCACATTTTCACCTTCTATAGCACAAAGTCAGTGGATGCCTATGAGTGTGTTAGTTACCGGGGTGGGGTGAGTCAATGGCGGAGAGCCGTGTTTTCACACCTTCTGTAGTGGACAGTCAATGGATGACTAAAACTGAAAGGCAGGAAGTAGGAATATAAGTATGTTGTTTATAAATTTGGAGGTGGATAGCAAAATAAATTATTTTAAAGGATTAAAATGGGGAGGGCACAGTGGGAGTGGGCCAGGCCTGAGGTCTTGCAGCGTGAGAGCACTTGAGACCACGAGCATCCTTGACTCTGAAAACAAAAGCCAAAGATGGTTTTGAAACTTATGGGTGCTTCAAAAGACCTTCAGGATGCTGGGCGCGGCGGC